GTTGACGATGTAGCATCGCCTGTATGCGCCGACTGGCCGCGACCCTGTCGGCCCACACCGGTGCTCCGTAGAGGAGCACCGATTGCACGACGCTCGCGTAGAGTCTCCTGACTCTATTTCGAGGACCACCCAAGTTCGAAAGGAGGCGACCCAACGCGGTCGCCATCCTATCCGCTTTGGGGGTTATCCCAGCGAAATGCTGCTCAAACCCCCAAAGTCCATCCAGAGTGAGGCCCAGATACTTCATCTGGGTCCCCACCCGGACGCGGACCTCCCCCACCCAGATCTGGATGGGGGGAGGACGCCCCAAGGCCCTGTCGTAGAAGAACAGGGCCTCCGTCTTCTGCGGGGCGACCTCGAGTTCCATCGTTCGTATGGAGTATATGACCGCCTGGGTTGCGGCGTTTGCCGCATCCCGGGCCTCTCTCCAACTCCTCCCCCGGGCTACCACCAGGGTGTCGTCTGCATAACAAAGCAGACGGCAGCCCGGGGGAAGAGCTGTGCGGAGCACTCTGTCATATGCGAGGTTCCATAGTAGGGGTCCTAAAACCGACCTCTGAGGAACCCCGCAACAGACCTCTCTTCGGCTTACCCGCTCCAGTTGGTCTTTGTACTGGAGCGTCCTGTCGCGGAAGTAGTCCCAAAGGACCTCCCTTATGTATGGAGAAAAACCATGGAACTCCATGGCCTCTCCCACACATTCCCAGGGGAGGGAGTTGAAGGCGTTGACGATGTCCAGCGACACCGCCAACGCCACATTCCCCTCCCCTACAATTTGGTCCGAAAGAGCCCGCAGATGCACAATGGCATCTGTTGTGGATCGGGCCTCTCGGAAATCCAAAACTGGTCCTCCGATAAATTGGAACCATCCCGCGACAGGTGCTGGACGATTCGGCCGGCAATAATTCTTTTGAACAGTTTGCCAACCTCGTCCAACAGGCAAATCGGCCTGTAAGCCGAAGATTGCTCCGCCGGTTTCCCCTCCTTGCGAAGAAGCACAAGGTTTGCTGTCTTCCACAAGGAGGGGAAGGTGCCCGTCCTGAGGCATGCGTTGTACAATCTCCTCAGACGGGCACCCACCACGCCAAAAGCCAAGGCCCATACTCGGCCGGGAACCCCGTCCGGACCGGGGGCTTTACCAGCAGCCCCCAGCCTTTTGGACGCCTCGGATAGCTCCCTCTCTGTGATCCCCAGGTCCTCGGTCCAGTCGGCGGGGTCCCCCCTAGGAGGGATGTGAGTGTCTCTTACGGGAAAGAGACTCCCCACCACCTGGCCGAGGAACCCGGGGTCCAGCGTCTCCGAGATTGGGGGCGCCGCAGGTCTCAAACTGTTGAGAACCAAATGGTACAGTCGCCCCCAAGGATCCCGGTCGAGCTCCGCGAGTAGCTCCTCCCAGGTCTTGGCTTTGGCCCCGCCGATGGCTGTCCGCAGGAAGCACCTCGCGACCAGGTACTTCCCGCGTGCCTCGGCAGTGCTCTCGTCCTCCCCGCCCGCCCGCCGTCGGGCCTTGAGGAGATCGCGTCTAGGCGTTTGCGCGCCTTCGCAGTTCCGCGATCTCCTCATTCCACCAATACATGGCCCGACGGAGGGCGGGCTTCGATCGGGGCATGGCCATGTCGCACATGCGCCCGGCCATGTCCCCGATCTCCTCGGCTTCGGCCCCGGCGTCGACGAGGTCGGGGAAATCCGACCACGCCTCCACCAAGGCCGCCGCCACCAGCCTGTCTTGGTCCAGTTGGGCCAGCGCCCACCTTCTGGGGGGTTTTTTGCCCCTTTGACGAAGACGGCGGGCCAGCACCTCCAGGGGTGTGGCGGTCAAGACCATCTCTATACAGAGATGGTCCGAGAGGGTCTCTCGATCCGCCACCTCCCAGGTCCTCACCAAGTCCGCTGCCCGAGGGGAGGCCTACGTCAGGTCGACGATGGACTCCCCCCGGGGGCGGATACAGGTGCTAGTCGACCCCCTGTTTTGTAACAGGAGGCCGAGACCCGCCGCCCAAGTCAGCACGGCCTCACCCCTAATGTTGGTGAACCGGGAACCCCACACCTGAGCCCAGGCGTTAAAGTCCCCGGCCACCAACACGGGATGGGGGAGGCATCGGCGAATGCCCGCCCCCATTGCCCGCAATTGTTCACGAAATTTGGGGTGAGGCCGCTTTGGTTGGGCGTAAACTTCTACCACGTATAAGGCACCCCACCGCGCCATGACAAACCCCTCCCCTCGTTCCACTAGGATAAGGGAGGGGAGCGCGGGGAGTGCCTCCTCACGATGGCGGCAGAGCCGTTCGAGGCCGAGACCCAGTTGGGGTCTGATTCCGGCACCCGATACGCCTCCGCCACCACTCCTAATCCTGCATCACGCCCGCTCAGGTCCTTTAGGAACAGGTCCTGGGCCCGGCGGGCGTGATTCAGGTTGGCTTGGAGGAGTTTTGTGGACATTATTTGTTCCTAGGAACCTGTCCCTCCTCCAGGCCACTCGTACCTGCTGCTGTTTCGGCGGCAGCTGGCGTTGGGTCCACTTCCATGGCCTCCGCGGGGGGATCTGATCCCCCCTTATTGGACGGCTTTGCCGCTGCCGCCTTTACCGTTTCCTTGGTTTTAGAAGGGGGGAGTGCCTGTGTGGCCGCTCCCCCCTTCTTCTTACTTCCTCCCTTGGGGGGCTTACACGCCGGCCCCCCATTCGATGGGAGGCCGGACTCGCGTCCTGGCACACAGCGCATTTAGCCTGCGCCGTGCACTCGCGGGCCTCGTGTCCCTTTTCACCGCAGCGGTAGCATATACTGCTGCGGTCCACGTCCTTATTAGGGCATGTTGCCCTTACGTGTCCCCTCTCCATGCATTTGTAGCATTGGAGGGGGCGCGCCTCCAGGAGTTCAACCCGGGCTCCGAAGAACCCCTCGATGATTATATGCCCCTCCTGGGCGACCTTATTGGCCGCCCTGAGGAGGCACTTCGCCCAGGCCGTGTAAAGGCTTCTTGGGGTGGGGGAGGGTTTAATGTCCCCCACCTTGACCTCGGTGGGGGAGCATTCTCCCCTCTCCGCCACGGCCTGAGCGATGCTCTCCGCCGTGGTGGCCGGCGCTAAATCCCGGATACGGATCTTGCCCATTTTTTGTGGGCGATTGATCCGTATCTCGGGTCTTTCAGCGAACATGCTGCGCATCTTTTGCGCCAGCATGTCCGCTTTTCTTTGCCCTTCGAGGCCTGGCACCTGTATTATGAGGGCCCCGGTTTGGCCCGCTTTGGGCGTCGTTGGGGGGATCCCCATCTCTTTGAGAGAGATCTCCCCGGTGACCCTCTTCATCACCGCGGCGTATTCTCCCACTGGACATGTGAGAGAAACGGCCGCGGTGTTGGGCACCTTCCTCTTTTTTTGCTCCCCTCCCCCCCCCCTTGCCCTGTTTTGGTGGGAAAGGAAGGGATTTGGGGGCGGCTTTGGGAACCACTTTCGTGGTCCCCTGACCGCTCATCGTCCCCCGATTTGGGAGGAGGAGGAGGAGCTGCCCTCCTCGTTGCTCTCCTCTTCACCACTTCTGTAAAGAGAAGTGGTAGCTGCTTCTGTTGTTGCTGCTGCTGCACTTTTGCAGTTTCTGCAGCAGTTTTCCCTCTGTGGGGGATCGATTGTCCCGGCTTTTCAGTCGGGACCAGTGCTGCAAGATCGAGCATTCTGCAACACAGCAACATGAGGGGAACGGCTCCCACCATGCGGGCACTACACAAGCGAGAACCGCACGTCACGCGTCCGTGTGCGCACGCGTCAGCGTAGCATGCTATTTGTCACTTCCCCAGCCCGCGAAAAATGCTACGTACGAAAAATGCTAAGAAGCCAAGCGTTTTTAATCGAGTAAGGCAAATCGCTTGAATAATAAAGATTCCGTCTTCTAGACCTGTATCTTGCAACTTGTTTTTTCTTTTTGCATTTCTTTCTAACGCACAATCTAATGCACAATCGAGTAAATAATTAAAT